ACTATCTACTACTACTACTACTGCTACTACTACTACTGCTACTACACTACTACTAACTGCTAGCTACTAGCTACTACTACTACTACTACCACTACCACTACCACTACCACTACCACTACCACTACCACTACCACTACCACTACTACTACGACGACTACTACTACTACTACTACTACCACCACCACCACTACTACCACCCCCCCACCCACCCACAGGGGGGGGCGGGGAACACAGCTCCTGTATACCCATACCCATTCGGGGGGGGGGGACCTGGAGGGCTGCATCGTGTATATATATATAATATGTGTACCATCCAGTATTTGTGGATTATCCAATTTCATTATTATGGGAAATCGTATTACAGCAACCGACCAGCAAAAGGAAAGACAAAGGATTTTGAACATTTCTCAACCACTGCTATCACATAATATATCATGATCTATTCTCTTTTGGAATCTCTTGGAGACTGAGGTTCAAATGTGGCTAGACACCATGATCATTGGGATGGGTTTGTGCCCATGGGCAAAGCCTGCCAACGAGGCGGGTCTTCGACAATCTGTCTCTTGCAAGTAGATCTTGTATCATTTTGTGGCACAAAAGTATGGCACCATTGAAAACTGCAACATGCCGCAGCCGCACGAAATCACACTTCCCTGGTTGCCCGTGGCAATTCTCCTGGTGCACCACAGTCAGATGGTTGCCGGGTGTGGGAAACACAATTCTGTCTCAGTCCGTGCCCGGTAGGGATTCGTGTTTTGCACTGCGCAAAGTTGAGCTTTGAGGCCGGCGGCATCCGCATCGTCACCAGCTCTGCCTCCACTCCTCAGGAAGTGCTTGAGGATTTGCAGAGAGAAGCAAAGAAACTTCAAGGCGCTTGGATGTGCACAAAGAAAGTGTGGATTTGTTTGTTGATGTTTGCATGATTTTTATCAGCATAGTTCATACATGGATCGACAGTACATGTGAATACACGTGATGCATTGTGATGCTATGATGTTATGGATGTGCACTGGCTCTTGGACTTTGAGGATGGCTGCCAGAACCGCAAGCTGGATCTCCTGTGACGACCCTCTTGGTGTGTCCAAGTGTTGAAGAATGGCGTGACTTTGAAAACTTTGATGCATTTCGTGAAGAAATTCTTTTGATGCTTGGAGGCATTTTTTTGTGAAATCTCTTGAATCAAGTGGAGGTAGTGAGATGCAAGCGGCCATGATTTGCTGCCTGCACACTTGCCGTACACGCTCGTCCTTAATGTGCCGTTTAAATGATTGATAAGATCCTGGCAGTTGATCAGCAACAAGCTGTCAAAAGCTACTGGTCGCAAAAAGCCTTTCGTGGCCGATCCCCTAATTCAAAACATGCTAGTTGGTCAAACATCAACTGTTATTTTTGCCAGTCTTTTCTCCCCTTTTTATCCCCTTTTCAAGTCTCCCTGCCTTGCAACAGAGCAACCTGTGACGTGCCGTTCTGATTGGACTGGTTTGGAGGGACATGAGGGACACACACAGGGAGAGAATGGCCTAGCTTTACACCACAGGTGCTAGGCTAGTATCATTACCAGTAGTACCGCACAAGGCGGTGGCGGAAGTTTCAAGACTAGGAAACCTATAGGAGAGGTTGGTTGTTGTGAATCACGGATGGCAGAGCGAAGCCACTGATGGATTGAAAGGTGATTGATGTCTCCTCTCTTTCTCTCTCTCTCTCTCTCTTTTTCTCTCTTTCTCTGATTATCTACCTACCTACCTACCGATCTATCTATCTATCTTTCTATCTATCCATCTATGTATCTCTCTCTCTCTCTCATCTGTCTATCTATCTATCTATCTATCCATCCATCCATCCATCCATCTATCCATCTATCAATCAATCTGTCTAGCTGTCTTTTTATCTATCTATCTATCTAGCTATCTAGCTATCTAGCTATCTAGCTATCTAGCTATCTCGCTGTCTATCTATCTAGCTATCTAGCTATCTAGCTATCTAGCTATCTATCTAGCTATCTAGCTATCTAGCTATCTAGCTATCTAGCTGTCTATCTATCCATCTATCCATCTATCTATCTTTCTAGCTATCTATCTATCTAGCTATCTAGCTGTCTATCTGTACATCTATCTATCTATCTGTCTGTCTATCTATCTATCTAGCTGTCCCTCTCTCTATCTATCTATCTATCTGTCTATCTATCTATCTATCTATCTATCAATCTATCTATCTACCTGTCTATCTATCTATCTATCTGTCTGTCAGTCTGTCTGTCTGTCTGTCTATCTATCTGTCTGTCTATCTATCTATCTATCCATCTATTTATCTCTCTCTCTCTCTCGGTCTGTCTGTCTGTCTATCTATCTACCTGTCTATCTGCAAGCTTGAAAACCTAGCTATTCTGCGAGACTTCTTCATTTTTCAAAGTTGACAACCGCAATTCTGCGTGACTTCCTCATTTTTCAAAGTTGACAACATCAAAAACGAAGCAATTCTGCGAGACTTCCTCATTTTTCGAAGTTGACAACATCAAAAACCAAGAAATTCTGCGAGACTTCTTCAATTTTTGAACTTGACAACATCAAAAACGAAACAATTCTGCGAGACTTCCTTCAAAAATAAAAAGTTGAGTGCAGAGCTGACAGCCTCGTATCAATGCGTTTTGCGATTTTTCCAGTCTGCCACGAAAAAGTGATGCCAGGTCATACGAAGTGCTGCACCTGTCACGCAAAATCGTCTCAGCACACCTGAAGATCTGATGCTCCAAAATGTAACGCGTCTCAGGAAATCAGCGCCCTGACCTCCTAACATCTCTGATGAACATGTCTTTTGTACTGCGCCTGCCACGCGAAATGCATCTTTGAAGATCTTCTTCAAATGTCCCACGCCTGCCATCGTTTTTGGAAATGCCACAAAACCCTCACGTTTTGCTCACTTTTGACAAGGTGCACAATCCCTTGCGCCTGCCACGCGAAGGCACATCTGAACCTCGAAAAGTGGTCCGAACATGGTGTGTTTTTGTACATTTTGACTTCGAAATGTGCTTCGCGCCACAACGGCGTGCACTTTTTCGACATCTCAACTTCCAAAAGTGGTCCGAGAATGGTGTGTTTTGTACATTTTGACTTCGAAATGTGCTTCGCGCCACAACGGCGTGCACTTTTTCGACATCTCAACTTCCAAAAGTGGTCCGAGAATGGTGTGTTTTGTACATTTTGAAATCGAAATGTGCTTCGCGCCACAACGGCGTGCAATTTTTCATCTCTCATTGGCCAGATGGCTCCGCACCCGCCGCTTTAGCGAGCCTACTTTTCGACCCTCCGGAGCCTCAAAACACACGAAAAACACAGTGTTTCGCGACTTTCCTACCTTTTCGCGCGCCTATCTTATTTCTTTCTGATTCTTTCTCTTCTCTGATCTTCTCTCTTCTACTCTTCTCTTCTCTCTGACCCTCTCCATCTCTGCTTTTCATCTGTCCAGATTGTCGGAAGTTTGACTTCTAAACTTCCTTCGATCATCTAGTATCCGCACATTATCTTCCTGCGGAACCGCTTGCGCACGGCCAAGCGCTTGAAATGCACGACTTCGCCCGCTGTGTCTGCAACAACCGGCAAAGTCTCATTGAAGTGTCGGATACATTACATGAACACATGAACAACTTTAAAGTGAAACTAACACTAAGTGCCAGTTTCCCAGAAAATTTGCTTTGTACTAAGGAACGGGGAGGTGCTAACAGAGGAGTTCCAGTGCAAGATCGTATGCTTTCATCCACGCCAACAAGCCATTTGGACTCATGTTGTAATATGTTATAGACACTTGACTCGACCCTTGCATACCCTTGCAAATGATATGTCAGGCTTCACTAGGAATCTTCACCTGCAATTCTGCCAATGAGCTTCAGGGCTGATGTCAGATAGAGAAAACAATTTACATTTCCTTTGAGCAAATATTCGCTGAGGCCTCCAATATCTATGGACTGAATGTTGGCGACGAGATTCTTGTCGACGTGCCAGGGACAGGCCATTTGGCACTATGTCAAAATAATAATGCTTGAATAGCGTTCAAACATTTTTAGACCTTTGGCCGATCTGCTTTGTGCCAGTCACCGAATACGATTTTATATGTTCTTGAGGTGAATTTGCTGGAACTGTACTCGAAATCCTTGGAATGGAAATGAAGCCACCGCGTGAGATCAAAACACAGTTGCCTGTCAGCACATTTTACAAATCCTGAGAAATCAGAGGTGGAGAGATGATGCGAAATGCTTGTTCCAATTGAGACTGTACTTCATTGTACATAGCTATTTGATGATTCGACCCGTCATTGTCGCAGCGAGCATTTTGGGCGATGGCCCTGCTTGCTACTTCATGTTGAATCACCCAGTCAAGCTACAGCACAGGGAAATCTCCTCATGTGTCGCAATCCTTCACCGAGAGGTTCGTGTTTTTGCCGTTTCTTGGTCCCAGGTTTTTTGGGAAAGTCGACCAAGGCAAGGCCCCATGATGGCCACGTTCATTTCAAGTTGATGCAATTGATGCAAGTTGTCTATGTCCCGCCTCTCTGTTTCCTGGACTCCGTGTTTCCTCGGAGTTCCCAGCAGATCTAAAAATTACATGCTTGACCAGGAGAAGACGGTGAGATGGTGATTGAGCCATTCCTTGACTCGGATCACATTGCCACCATTTCTGAAGACAACGTGCTTTTGCTGAATGGTTTCGATGTGCAGACCAGATGCCATTGCTGCAAGCCTTGCAGTAAACAACAAACATCATCTATTAATCAACACGGTCAACATCTTCCAAAAACAAATGGAAATAGCCTGCAATAGCTTTGTTCTTCAGGTGGTGGTGGTGGTGGTATGCTGTGAACAGATGTGAACAGCGGGTTTGTATCTTCCTTCCTGACTGAAGGTCACACAGCTTCTTGGCCGCGAAGCCCTGGCGCCAGAGGTCCCGCTGTGGGCAATGAGTTTGCAACGCAGCAGATTGATGCAGAAAGTTTGACCAGGATGGATGCCGCAGCATCTTGGGCCGCGCACCGCGGGTTGTGCTACATCTGCTGAGATCCAAGGATTTGGAGGTGGGCGCCCGGTTCATGCCTGTTCCTAATAACATCCTGCTACCTTACATTGCAAATCATTGTAATTAGCCTGCTTGTTCCAATGTTACCTGTGTTGTAATTATTTTACACAATTCGTTCAATTTCGACATGCTTTTGTTTGCAAATTTCGAAAGAAGGTTGACTGATGTTGACTGATTCCTGGGAGACCACATACTGTATTTATATGTATTTTGTACTGACCTTCCATGTCCTTGCATGCTATGCCTGATTGTGCGTTTGCTGTTGGTTCCCCATCACCCTTTACATTCATGTGCAGAGTCAAACTCCATGGCTTCAGCCAAAATTGGATTCAAAATAGCGTGTTTGAGTTGGCTTCGGAAGGCTGTTGATGACAAGAAGGCAGGGCATTGTTGGGGCAAGGCAAGGCAAGGCAAGGCATCAAAAACAGCATCATGTGCATAGAACCCAACAAGACCCATTGACCTGGAAAGTGCAGAGCACAGACACCTGTGTGCTTCGTTGATGGTTTTTTTCGTGCTGAAGACAAGTCATGACATTGGAACACCTGAAGAAACGTGCTACGATATGCTGTTGGAGCAAGAACCTCCAAGGCTTTATTTAGGCTAGAGACTTGACTTGGCTTTGGCATCAACTTTGCTGTCAAATGCAGACGAAAACGGGTTTGAAATGGTTGGAAATCTTCAGAAGAGAGAGAGAGAGAGAGAGATGTCGACGAAGTTTTCGATTTATACATATAAGATCATCAGTAAATTCATGTAAAATCAAATGAGCAAAGTGACACGACATGACAAGGTCAAATGAGCAAATCACAGACATCCAACAGCAGTGGGGTGCAGAGGGATACGGTGGAGACTGCTTCCAGGCATTCCAAGCTTTGGAGCGGAATGAAGAGGTCTCGGCGCAGTTTGCCAGAGGGTTTGACCATCTGCCACACCCTCTATTTGTATAGCACAAGTATGCATGAGTAATCTTCACACCATAGGCTGGGGGAAGATTAGTTGATTAGTTGATTATTTTTAGGCTCAAGTGCACTAGGGTTCTTGTTTGGGACCCCCCGCTTGTTTTCCGTCTCCGCACCGCACTCCCATGGCGCCGCGTGAGAAGACCCGTGAGAAGAGTCGTACGCCCACAGAAAACAGAGCAAGACAGAAGCCAAAAGAAGAAGCACAAGAACCCAAGCCAAACAACGATGGGAAGGAAACAAAGACAGAAGAAGTTGAAGAAATGGAAGTTGACCCAGAAGCCAAGAAGAGACTAGAGTTCCAATCACCAGAATGCAAAGAACCACTCAGCACAGGTGAAGCCCCAGAACAGATTGCCAAGAAGCCACGAGCAACAGTTACTTTCCAAACACTCTCAGACAGTGATGAAGAATCTCAGCAATCCAAGGCAAGAAGCTCCAAAAGCCAACAGTCAGGCAGCGAAACAACAGAAACAACACAGATTACCAAAGCCACACGCAACATGGAACTGATGACCATGGAATCCCCCATCAGAACTGATGGCACAAAGACACCCCTGAGGAGACCTGAGGAGAAACGAAGAGAGAGAAGCGTCAGTCGCACATCAGACCACTCAAGCATCCCAGACACAAACGATGAACAGCTTCAGCGCGAAGAAGAAGCGCTACACAACAAGGCTTTGACAACAGATGACTTACAAGCAATCTTGAGAAGCGAACGTCACCGCAACAAGAGAAGAATTGAGCACCTACAAGCCACAGTCGACCATGTCCAAGACAACCTACAAGAAGCCATCTACGACATCGAAACCCAGTCCAGGATTGGTGCACACCTTGTATACAAGAGACTCCAAGAAGACGCAAAACAGGCCTCCCTTTCTTTCACAGTAGAAGGATTCCCCAAAGAAGCCACCCCCACAGACAAACACGCATTCATCAAATGGATCCTTGAAGCATCAGGATGCAATGATCCGGATGTCAAGGCCAGCTTAACAAACACCCGGGGAGAGATTAGCAACACCATCCTAGTGACGTTCTCATCGGGATGGCACAGGAACAAAACATTCCAGTGGTATACAGACCAGTACTCCCGCCGCAAACAACAGTTGTGGTGGTGGTCCCAAGCCACTGGACGTCAAACCCACAACCAAATCCGGATCCGAAAAACGCTGTCCGAAGATGCCCGAATCCGGGGCCGCTACCTCAAAGCCGCAATGGCTTGCATAGGAGACAACACCCAACAACGCATTGACATCTACCCCGTTTGGGGCGAAAATGCTGTCAAAGAAACCAGCACTGGAGAGTATTTAGTATGGTGTCACTTCTCTTACCCCAATGCGACTTGCCAAGTCTTCATCCACAGTTCAGTGTTTGACCTCATCCATCCCTTTATGGAAACCAAAATTGAAGACCTATACTCAACAGCTGGCAGCAAAGGAAAAGGACGACAGAGCAGACCCCCAAACAAAGGCCGCGGCAAAGGCGCTTTCTCCAGCCTTGACACGCCATTTGATCCTAGAGACCCATTTTGGTTGAAGTTTATCAAAGTTACCAGCTGGAAAAAGGATGAGAAAGTTCGCTCAGCATTGCAGGACGAAGAGGACGCGAGATCGAAGTTTGAGATGGCCGAGGGTTGACTCAATATGAAAAAACTCTATGTGAAAAGACTCCATTTGAAGAAGCCTGATTCAGGATATACTCCATTTGAACAGTCTCAATTTGAACAGGCTCCTTTTGAACAAAGACCGCTCAAAGGTTTTTGGAATGCACACCACCAATCCGTGCGAAAAAGTTCCGCGCGCCGAATACATGTGAGTGGGCACCCCCAAAAAAGAAACGACCAAAATAAAGCCCGAAAGGGAAGATCATTTTATAATCACCCTACCTTCCAGAGGAGAGCCGGGTTGACAGCGCGAATGGTTTTTCCCATTCAGCAGCGTCATCAGAATGTGCACCCATGCCAAACTGCCCAACACAAAAGTAGCGTAAAAAGAAAAACCAGGAGAGGTAACCGAAACAGTGCTAAACAACGTGACAAATTTGAACATTGGAGAAACCTTCGGAAAAATAATCGCAGGAACTGGCGTAAGTTCAAACAAATTGGCAGTACAGCAATGAGGAAAGTGGTTGCAGCCTCATTGTTGGGCACCGCAACTCAAGAACCTAGCCTGCTGAAGCAAACCCTCACACTTGAAGAATACAGATCGAATAAGTACGCTGACGGAGGAACGCTTGTACCAAATCAAGTTAACAAACTCTGCAAAAAGAAAAAAACTCAAACCATCTCCAAATGGATTGAGACATGCGAACTCCGCAACAAACGCAAAAGCCAACGTAGGTATAGTAGAATGATAAAACGGAGAGCAAACTATTTCATCAGCAAAAATGATGCCAGCCCATCCCCACCCCAACAGGGCAATAACAATAATTACCTACCCTATGCCCACAAATGGCGTATGGGCACGCTGAATTGCCGTGGGCTTAACGAGCAATCAAAACGAGAGCAAATTATGGAAATCATGCGTCAACTCAAAATTGATGTTTTGGCATTGCAAGAAACCAAAGTCAACCACTGCAGTGAAGAATGCCGTGTTAAAGAAGGTTCCAACGACCAGTACAGGTTCTTTTTCAGTTCCGCCAACGACACTCAGCGCCATATCGCGCAAGCGCCACAAGCCAAAGCAAAGGCCAAATGTGCGCAAAGAACTGAACACTGCGGGGTAGGATTTGTGATCGGTCCACGCTGTATTGACATTATTGCAGATTGTATTCCTCATAATGGTCGTTTAATAGAACTGCACTTGCACAATAAAGGTCCAGACATATGCATTCTCAATCATTACGCGCCACATAGTGCAAAACCATCAGGGGAAAAGGATACACATTGGGGCCTGCTAACCCAAATCACTCAAGCACGCTCCTGCTGCATGCCTACATTTGTAGTTGGTGATGCAAATGCGCGCTTACATGGTCGCGCACATGAAATCGAGGAAACCGTCGTTGGTCCGCACGTTTTTGGCTGGGGCCAAGGTTTTGTAACAAGGCTTCCTGAAGAGCAACTTGAAAACCGTCAACTTATGATTGATTTTTGTATTGCAAACGATTTCATTATCTCCAATACTTTCTTCAACAAGGCCAATGAACACAAATGTACTTTCAAAGATGCCAGAACTGATGGCTTCAAAGCTCCATGGACGCCTGACAGATTTGCCCAACTGGACTTTATTCTTGCGCCACAACGATGGAAAAATGCAGTCCTCGATGTCCACTCTTACACAAACATTGCCTTCAATAGTGATCATGCGGTGGTTGTTGCAGACATGCGCCTGAAACTACGCAAGCACAAAAGTAGAGGTAAAGCGGCCCAAAATGCAAAAAGATTTTTCCAACCAACCGACGTTCAGCTTCAAAGATATAATCAGCAGGTCCATTCTCAGTTCATTTTTAAGACCGGTACACTGGATGAGAAACTTAGTAACTGCTGTCGTTTTGTATCTCAGTTGCATAAGGCGGCGCTGGAAATCTTTGACGAAAAACATGTTGTACAAAATCGCGATTACCTTTCTCGTTATACCTGGCACTTAATTAATCAACGACAAATTGCTAGACAAAGGAGAGATACCCAAGCCGAGCAAGTCTTGAATCGTGAAATCAAGAAAAGTGCTAAAAGAGATAAAATACAATGGCGCATTAATAAGCTCGAAGATCTAACGGATATCAAAAATTCTTGGAAGCACATCAAATATGAAAAACGTGATTACATGCCCAAATTCTATGACATCAAAGACATCCGAGGAAATCGAGTCCCTCTATCAAAAAAAGCAGATGCAATTGCTGAATATTTGTTTGAAAAACAATGGGGGCCTACTAGCCCATCACCCCCACCTGAGAATGCTCGAGAAAACGTGTTTTCCCACCCCCTACCTTTCTTTACAGGAAACCTCTCTGCAAATGAAGTTAGAAACGCGATCTCCAAACTAAAAACCAACAAAACGCCAGGACCCGATGGAGCAATCACAGAACTCTTCAAATGGCTTGATGATCACACATTGGAGCAGCTCACCGACTGCTTGAATGTTTTCTGGACTGAAAAACAAGTTCCTGATTCCTTTACCCAAGCACAAGTATGCTGTATATACAAAAAAGGTGCGCACGACAATCCTGAAAACTATCGTCCCATCTCGCTCCTGAACACCAGCTACAAAATTTTTGCAAGCATCATTCAAAGTCGCCTCGCAAACATCCTGGAGCCTCTACTAGGGGACACTCAATATGGTTTCCGCCCCAAACGTTCCACTGCAGAACCACTTTTCTGCGTTCGCAGACTCGCGGATTTCGCTGAACAAGGCAACGACCCTCTTTTTTTAATCTTTTTAGATCCCGGTCTGGTGGTGCTGGCTGAAAAGGGGGGAGCTCTACCTCAAAAATTTAGCCAGCTGCAACTGTTACCTGACACTTGTACCCATGGTTTTCAGCCAAGCCCCAGATAGCATCATTTCTGAGAAATAGAGTTTCAGGATGCAATTGAGCATGTGTTCATGTTACCTTGGTTCCACAGTTTTCAGCCACAGCTCGACTCGATTCCATATAATTTATGCTGACCTCAGATCCATAGTTTTCATCCAACAACATTGGGAAAACAGACGCATCAACCAAGAGGTGAATCCCAAGTTTCCAGCCATTGCGCAATAAATCCTAGGGCCTAGGGTTTGAGACTTTGCAGTGGTCAGGTCATTGGATTCCTGAAAAGTCAGCGTGGGAGAAAATAATTGTTTTACAATGACCTTGTTGAGGCAAACCATCAACAAGACAAATCGTTTCACAATGGACTTGTTGAGTTGAAATCCTGGAAATGTGCTTCGCGCCACAACGGCGTACACTTTTTCGACATCTCAACTCCCAAAAGTGGTCCCCACCTGGTGTGTTTTGTGCATTTTGACTTGCAAATGTGCTTCGCGCCACAACGGCGTGCACTTTTTCGACATCTCAACTTCCAAAAGTGCTCTGAGACCCAGGTGTTTTGTACATTTTCGCTTGGAAATGTGCTTCGCGCCACAACGGCGTGCAATTTTTCATCTCTCAACTGGCCAGCTGGCTCCGCAACCGCCGAGCTGGCTCAGAGGATTTGGCTGAAACCTGGAGAGACAGTTGGTATCTCTGAGATACCTAACGCTGTGGGTAAAAAATTGGTGTTCCGGGGAGGTTCAACAGGATGTGAAAGATTCAACAGGATGTGCGTGTGTTGGCCTGCATCTTAGGCACCTATGGTTTCAGCCACTTGTAACATGTAAGTTGTAAGATGCAAGGTAACCTCACATCCCCTAGTCTTCAGCCACGGGAACATACTAGTATTTTTTTTACTTTGGCTATATTTTTGGGGTTGGGGTCATGTTTTCAGCCCATGGCTTTCAGTCTTGGCACCTACGCTTTCAGCCAGAATATTGGCTGGAATGGGGGCTGTAGACCCTAAGAGTTCCATCCATCGGGGATTTTTTAGATTGGGAAAAAGCCTTCGATAAAATTGATCATGAAAAGATGTTCCTATCCCTTTCTAGACTACAGATTCCACCTAACATTCTTGACAATATTAAGAGTCTTTACTCGAACCCGACTTTCCAAGTCCTCCAATCTGACCATAGCAGCGATTGGCAAAAACAGAACTGGGATTCGACAAGGTTGCCCGCTTAGCCCCTACTTATTTATCCTCACGATGCACGTAATGTTTCATGATGTCAAAAATCAGTACCATGACCCCCTTCATAGCAAAACTTTCCAAGGCATAAATTTCCAAGAGCTGCTTTATGCTGATGACACACTTATCATTGCAAAAAATTCGGCAACAGCAAACGCTTTCCTTCATTTGATTGAAAAAGAATCCGAATACCTGCATCTTAAACTTAATCACGATAAATGCAATTACATCAAATTCAACGCACCACGAGGGAATATTCGTTTCAGAAATGGCACCGAAATGAAACCAACCACAGAAGCAAAATACCTGGGCTCAGTGATCACAAATACGCCGAATCCGGCGCAAGAAATTAGGCGCAGAATCTCCAATACGATGCCAGTTCTCAAAAAGCTAGACATTTTTTGGAACAAAACCCGCTGTAACAAAAAGTGGAAACTGCTAGTCTACAATTCGGTTATAGTGAGCCGGGTGCTGTATGGACTGGAATCCCTGGAGCCTACAGAAAATATTGGTCGGATGCTCGACGTTTTCCAACTAAAAGGATTACGCAAGATTCTGAACTTACATACCACTTTCGTCAACAGAAACAACACAAATGAGTTTGTTTACCAACAAGCAAATGATGCCTTAGAGGCCCCTTCAGTTGGTCCACTCCGAAAAATTAAACCGCTGACTGAGATCCTTGAGGACAAACGTTTGAAACTTTTGGGGCATGTACTCAGACGCCCAAGATCGCATCCTCAGCACCAAGTCACTTTTGATTCGTTCCTTGCCAGACCAAAAGTCCCTACACTGCGTAGAGTAGGCAGACCCAGAAAATTCTGGACAACAGAAAATATGCGCAAAGCTTGGGAAATTATCCAACAGGCTGACAACGCTCAACCACATGTTCCTTTTGATCCAGCTAACCGGACAATTCGCGAGACATTAATTGCTGCGGCACGAAACTACCAAGCGCCTTTTGACTAGTTACCACCATCTCGTTTTCAACATTAACAAAAATAACGGTTTTTCTTTGCCGACTAAGGTAATCCGCCAGTGAACACACTCCTTTTGAACGTGCTCTGTTTGAACATGCTCTGTTTGAACGTGACTCTATGTGAATGCTGTTTTTAATTTATTTTATTTAGGATCTCGCGAGGAAAGCTCATGGCAGTATATGACAGTTACACATATGCCACCACTCAATTTGAACATCTCTCTGTGAACCTCTCCATGTGAAGTGACAATTCTACATTTCAAACCTTCTTGCAATGCTACTTGATAGTTTGATGATCTGTTACTGATTCTGGATAATAAAAGCGTAGCCTGAAGTGAGAGCTATGATTGTACAGCGGTAGTTTCCTTTTAGTTTTCCTCTTGTCCATAGATTCTTCCGTTTCGTTTTGAACCTTGTTCACACAGCAGGACCTAGGGCCAACGGCCGCGTGCGTTCAGCAAAGGTGGCTTAGGCTAAGAAAAAAAAAATCGTATTTTATTTTGGGGATCACTTTGAGTGTTTACCACTGTATGACGCCAACTACAGTAGCAACAGTTGCAGGAACATATTGGCTTCGCAGACTTGAAACTAGATCTGCAGCAACCAATCAAGACTTCCTTATCTTCCTTCCACAAAACAAAGAACTCTTCCGGCCAGCTGCAGGTGGTTGAGACTCTTGGCCTTGAAGGATTCGACGACTTGGTGAAAAAATGCGGCTGATCGAAAGGCACGCACTTGGCATGGCCTAGCTGCAAAATTGCCTGCTGCAGCAATCCACAGCGAGACTCCCTGAAAGCCAATGAATTGGTAACGTGCGGCGGCAAAGAGCACGCCTCTGAGCAGGAGTTCAAGATAGCAGCGAGAGAAAAAAGTGGTCCCAAAGAGAAAGGCACATTTTGTTGACACCGGGTACTCGTATTTGGATCGGTTCGGCATTTGGCACAACCAGCCACGGAATGTCACATGGTTGCACTTGATTTAGTACATTTCTTCAGGATTTCTTACTGTTATGAAATCGAATCATTGCTGCCAGACTTGGAGCGCGGGGCCTTTCTACGGCCCGATGCAGTAAACAACACCAACAAGTGTGGGCCTAGGATATGTGAAAGCAGGCAGAGATGTTTGCGGCACCAGGGTTCCTGAAGGGTTCAAGACCCAAGAAAAGCAGGAAGACATGACGATGATCAACAAGACTCTGCAAAGTGCTACCCGCACTCCCCACAGCAATCTCGAAGACCCAATGTCCACCTCATGCAGCAAAACTGCGCTACAGAAATGCTACAGATGCAAGGTTGCTGGACATGACATAAAAGGAAAAGTAGACAGAGAACTACGAAAGACCAAACACGTCAAAGATCAAGAAGCCGGTTGGGATGTATTTATATGTATTTATTGTATTTCAAGTGGAAGCTGTTTCTGCACCCCCTTCAAAAATTAAGAAAATGCCCTCACTGCCAGAGCTCTGGAAATTCTGGGACTGAGGTTGGAACTCTTTTGCTTTTCGAATGAAGCCGGGGGCTTTGGATGCGATGCCATGAAGGCTAAGTGAAATGGGAATGCTAATGCCTTATTTGCTTGATTGATTTTTCATTGCATGATTCGATTCAATCTTAAGTAAAACTAGTCTGTTCTTCCTTTTGTACATACTAGGGTCTTGACTTCAGTCGCATCTTCTTGTTGAAGTCGCATCTTGATTGGCGCCCGCCACAAAAAACACAGTTTTGCTTAAATCTTGTGATTTGATATTTGTACTAAATCATACATGATTGCCGTTTTACCAGCGTGCCAGCTCGCTTTTTCCATGGCTGACCTATAGTTCCATAGTTGATTTATTCCTCGTGTAAGTTTTTTTTGCCCCAGATAGCGAAGCTATTGGGGTTATTACTTCAACTATAGGCAGAGTTGCATGTTTGCGTTTTGGAGCTGGGCTGCTGGTGCCGTTGCAGGGTGCCGCTGCAGGGTGCCCCTGCAAGGTGCTGCTGTCAGAGCTGTGCGCATTTTGGAGCTGGGTTGCTGGTGCAGCTGCAGGGGTGCCGCTGCAGGGTGCCGCTGCAAGGTGCTGCTGTAAGAGTGCTGTTTGCGCTTTGGAGCCTGGTTGCTGGTGCGCTGCAGGGTGCTGCTGACAGAGTGCTGCTGTCAGAGTGCTGTTTGCGCTTTGGAGCCTGGTTGCTGGTGCGCTGCAGGGTGCTGCTGCAGAGTGCCGTTGCTGGTGCTGTTGTGGCAAGCTTCGCCAGGTGCTGTCCTTTCATTTTCCCTCCTCGTTTTCAGGTCCAAAAGGGCCTTGGTGGGTTGGTATGCCTTTAGGCCTCGTTTTGGCCTCGTTCTGGCTGCGTTTCTTTTTGCTTATGCTACGGTTGCGGTGGTACTGCGAGCAGCACAACCAGCAAAAGCAGCACAAGCAGCAGAAAGAGCAATACACAAGCAGCAGCACCAGCAGCAGAACCTGCTCGTGCTGCTGGCGCTGCTGGCGCTGCTTGTGCTGCTCGTGCAGCTTGTGCTGCTTGTGCTGCTGCTGGCGCAGCTTGTGCTGCTTGTGCTGCTTCTGCTGCTGGTGCTGCTGGTGCTGCTTGTGCTGCTTCTGCTGCGTCTGCTGCTTCTGCTGGTAGTGCTGCTTCTGCTGGTTCTGCTGCGTCTGCTGCTTCTGCTGCCCGTGCTGCTTCTGCTGCTTCTGCTGCTTCTGCTGCTGCTGCTGCTCCTGCTGCTCCTGCTGCTTCCGCTGCTTCTGCTGCTACTGGCTCTGAGTGGCGCCGCGTCGCAACCCTAAGACCCTAATAGTGTATAATGACTGCGCGCGCGCATTGTTTTGTTGATTTCCGCCGGTGATTTGGAATGTTTCATTGATTCCAACCACTTTCTATGATGTGCGGAATTCATTGGCGCCCGCAATGAATCATTGCAAAAAACAATGCTCGTGATGTGACTTCAGCGGCGTGATGTGCCTAGTGTTTTTCGCAGCGCCTGCCACGCAAGATGTGCCTTCAGCGGCGTGATGTGCCTAGTGTTTTTCGCAGCGCCTGCCACGCAAGATGTGCCTTCAGCGGTGTGATGTGAGTTAAGTCGACAACTTGTAGCAAAAGGCTCTGCAAACACCTGGCCTTGCGCAAGTTAGATCTTGTTGCTGCTAGTTTGGGAAGGGGTGCTTGTGGGCCCTGCCTACTGTGCAGTTAAGGACAAGGGAACTCTCTGGCTGGCAGCACGTTTAGACAACCTGGGCAAGGCAAGAGGTCGGAGTTGAATGGGATGCCTCGATTGAAAAGGATCAGCGCTGCATCCACGATGTTTGTTGATTCCACTCCCACGAGGGGGGACACCTCATTGGTAGAAATAACAAGAATAGACATCACACAAACTAACATGTAGTCTATCTCCGGGTTTTATGCTAGGAAAACGTGCATTTCAGTCAACTTTCTTTAGACTGCTGTGCCAGGGTGCAAGTGGCGCCTGCGTCCAAAATCTCAATCTGGCACTTGGATTCCCAGAGGCCCTATTGCTACTGCAAAATGTTGCAAGCCGCTTCAAACTATGCAATCTCAAGCTGGTCGCACATTAGTGGCACATATC